AGACAGAAGCAAATAGCAGTGGATATTTTTGTTATTTCATCAAAAACTTTAATGATAATTAAGTCTTTTAAAATTTAAGAGATATTATCACATTTTACATGATCGAATTGTTATTTTTTCAGAGGAATTTATTTGTTATTCTCCTCAATATTTACTAACCATTTATTTTTTTATTTCTTTTGATTCAAATATGTAGTTTTATGGTGGTAAGCTGTAAATGTCGTACACTTGCATACATTATCACATGTGACGTGTGCATAAAATTCAAATCTTTGTCGTATTGTCGAAAGTCATGGCCTAGTATCCTCAGCCCATCCAATAGTGTAAAAAATTAAAAACAGCCCACAAACTATTTTGATAAAAAAAAAGGGAGAGCCAACGAACCTGTTAGACATGCATGTTTGGCCCAAAAAAACTTATTAAGCATGTATAGCATGATGTTATGAATTTGTTTGGCCATCAAAGAACAAGTTCCATGAAAATGGGTAATTGCAGAGATTATCAAGAAAAAGTTTTCAGTTAATCCTAAGAGAGTGGGTTATGACACTTAAAGCTCAAAGTCTTGGGTTTTGGTTTATGTAAATGCAAAAAATGTCTTTGAAAGAGAAGATAGATGTTAAGTTAGACTCCAAATTCCAATCAATTATTTGAACTCCTCGATTAATGGGATGGGTTAAGATTAACACTAATAGGGTTATGTCTCTTATGAGTAATAAAGTGGGGTGTGGTGGAGTTCTTAAAGATCGCATTGGTTATTGGACAGCAGGGTTTTGTCATCACTTAAGATACTGATGAGGCAGAATAATAGGCTGTTTTGAAGAGCTTTTGCTTTGCTTGGAACTTTGGGTTTATGAAGGTGCTTCTAGAATCAAATTGCAAGAATCTAGTTGATCCTATTGCCAACGTAAGATATTCTAGGAATATGGGCAGTTTGGTGCTAGTCAATGTACTTAACATGATCAATGAAACTAGGAGTTTAGAATCCATTATTTGCATGAAAATATAATCAAGTGGCTGATAGATTAGTAAAGGAAGGGATTTCTTAGTCTTCTCTTTTTGAGGTTGCTCCTATGCTTATATGGAGCTTAGTTTCTTCTGATTGTCTGAGATCTCAATCACTTGTATATGTAATTTTCATTTCATACACCAAGCTTAGCCTTCTATTTCACCCAAAAAAAAAATCCTCAATTAGATTTGGTAATACCCAAATCTAACCTAATAAGCTAGCCACATAAAAAGGGTCTGAAATTAGCAAGGAAAGTATTTATCATGACAATTCAACAAAGAAAGTTATTTTTTTTAAATATTCTCTCTTAAAAATTTACCGTGACAAAATGCTTATAATAAAAAAAAAGCAATCTATAAGAAAAAGGTATACAATGTTAGTATTTTCCACAAAAGACACGAGCGCTTGATTAATATCTTTTTCTTTACAGTAGCACTATTACATCTAGCAACAGTTAGTGCCAGATTCCTTTCTATAAATGGGCATCAAAATGTGAAAAAATAAGCAAGTAACGAGAATAACAAGAAAAACATCCATAGTGGATTTTTCCTCTTACAAAGATGAAATAAAAGTATGGAATTTTTTTAGGAAGGCAGAGAGACCCGAGGATGTTGGGTTGCAGGGATGTAATACATCAATGCATGTTGTTGGTTCCCATTCCTCTTGGGAATTAAATTTTAAAAATTTGTTTTTCATAATAAAATAAAAGGAAAAAATATATTTAATTATATTAAATAGTTTGAAAATAGCTTTAAAATTTTTAAAAAATCGTTCAAAATAAACTTCTACCATTTCCACATCCATGTCACTAATCATCATTAGCCATTTGCCACCTCTTAGCATCACATTATTATTACTGTTAACCAATATATTAAAAACTGAATCAATCATTAAATTAGTTGAGGTTAAGGTTAACAGTTCAATTAAGGTCAAACACGAAACTAAATCAAAATCAAACTGATTATAATAAAATAATGTAATATAATTTTTTAAAAAATACAACTTCATTTTATTAAAAAAATAAAAATATTATATATATATATATATATATTAAAATGTAGAAAGTAGAAGCAACTTTTTCTTACACATAGCTCTATGTCTGCTCATATCAAATCACTATTCTTCTTTCATCTTCAAAGCACTGCAACCTTAAAAGCTCTTTTCTCCCTCTTCTACTTTTGGTTTTGGTTTCATCTCTCCTATTTTGATATTTTCTTTTCCAGTGAAGTGAGATGGATATGAACACAGAAGCCATGAGGAAGGAGGAACTGAGAAGGGGGAGGAGCAAAGTAGAGATGAGTTTGACAAGGAGAAACTAACAAGAAGCAAAGGTGCAATAATAAGTGAAGAAAGCGCATAGAAGAACAATAGACAAGTTGAAGCTCCACGATTGAGAGTCAAGACCCATGAAGCTTGAAACTTTGAGATGACACAACCGACGAAGTAGCTACTTGAAGCTCATTGCTGAGGGACAATCGAGGATAGCAAGATGAAGAAAATGATCGACAGCATGACAGAGAAGAGAACGAAGATGGAGTAGCGGAGAGGAGAGGTTCAAACTCAAGAGTTGAAGAAGGTGAAGAGGTTCATCACTCACTAGGACTTCTACCTTTTTTATATTTTTTTACTCTTAAATGATGTCATTTTAGGTTAAAGTTAAAAAAAAAAAATCAACCCTCCTGACCCTTGGGGTTGGCAAGTTAATTTAAGTTGATCTTGAATTAATTAAGGCTAATGAGAAATAAAAATGAGATCAAATGAATGATCAATATATCGATTCATCAATCTAATTGACTTGTCTAGTCTATTTTTAAAAACAATAATGTTAACTATTACTATTAATCATCTCTTACTACCATTGATCATTGTCATTGACAAAATGATAGTAATTAATAAATGATGAGGGTGGCTTTTAGTGGTAGTCAAGCAATCAACCATGACTAATGGTAGTTGTCGATAATGTGTGTGATCAAGCACGATTTTAAAAAAGAACATAGAGGGAGAAAGAAAATCGTTTAAAATATGAAGGAACTAACGCAAATTTTCACTTTTTTTATGAATAGAATAAAAAAGTTTCTAAAATTTTTTAAAAGGCCAATCAACTTGTTGGGGAAGGGGGGAGAAGTACCCCTGCATTCATCGTTGTGAGTGATGGTGGCCAACAATAGTCAGTGATAATAGTTGTGAGGGTTGATAGTAGAAGTTGATGGTGGCAGTCGGCTAGTAACATCAATAACAACAACAATAATAATGTTTAGTGATAGCTATTAATAGTGATTGGTGGTTATTTAGTGGCAATTAGCGATAGTTAGCTAATAATAACTAATGGTGATGGTGATGATGAAGGCAGCAAGTAGTAACCAATAAAGATAATTAATGGTAATGGCTAATAATGACAATAAAGATAACTAATGGTAATGACTAATAATGACAATGAATGGAGACTAACAATAACCCGCAGGCGAGCCACAATAATGAGCAATGATATGTGTTATGATGATAAAGGTTAGTCACAATAACCTTTGCAATTTTAAAACAAAAAAAAATAATTTTGAAATGTTTTCACATTACTGTTTTTAATTAGATAAAAATGAAAACAATTTAAAAAAAATTTAGATGCAGGACATCCATTCTGCCATTGTTTTCTTCAATTTTCTTTTGTGTTTTAAAAAATGAAAACAGTTTTCATTTTTCAAAAACAGAAATCAAATACACCGTTAAATTTTAATTGCAAAATGCTGACAACGATCAGAAGCTGCATATTTTGGCGTCTTGTGTTTTTTTCCCCCTTTTGCGGTAAAATTGGCGTCTCATGCTCTATTATTACTTATCAGTGTATGTTTACTATGTGACTGTGCGCGTGGTGTGTAAAAATTAAAAAAAGGGTTTTGCATATTTCCACTTAGTATTTTATTTTTCAAGCATTCATTCAGCTTATATGCGCACCTACTTGGGGATTTCATGATCATCAGAGCAGGTGCTTATCATCTTTGAAATAGTTTGGACCATATAAAAATAAATAAAACCATCTGGATTCTTTTGACCAAAAAAAAAAAAAAGAACCATCCGGATTTAAGTATTTTTTTTAATTTTTAAAATAAAAATTTACAAAATTTGAAAAAATTTATTAATTATCAAAATATACTGTTCATATTTAATTAAGTTAGTCCAAATTTAATATTAATTTTTTGTAATTTTTATAAACTAATTATACAAATTTACTCTATATTGTTTAAATTTAAAAATTTTAATTTATAATATTGTCAAATTCAAAATAATTTAAAATTATTTTATATGATCAATTTATAAAAATGATGAAAAATTAATATGAAATTTAGATTGATTTAATTAAATATAAAATATATATATTAATAATTAATGAATTTATTAAATATTATTATTTTATTTAAAAAAATAAAAAATATTTAAATTTTAACATTAAATCTGAAGAATTCAGATTATGTTCATTTGAGATGACGAGAACCAATGATGGTCACCGAATGTGCTCTCCGTGGTGTCACCTACTTGATAACAATTTCCTATTTAAGATTTTAGGACAACGCCACTCATGCAATTTTAAAAAAGTTTATGTTAGTTCACATGAACATGAAAAATAAATTTTACAACTGACAACTTATAAGCAATAAATATTATATTGTAAATTTTATATTAAATATCAATTAATTATAATGCTATTAACTTATTATTATTTAGAACAGCCTCTTTTTTTATGAGATTTAATATATTTTATATCGTTAATTCATTATAAATATAGGATTTGTTTGGGTAATCTTTAAAAATATATATAAATTATATTTGGAACGTGGTTTTATTAAATTTAACAAATAATTAAATTCTTAAATATATTTTTATCATATGTAAATTAAAATTCAAACCAGTGCATGATACTTAACTACTGATGATGGTTAACATGGACGATGATTATCGGTAACATGATAACATTATTATTTTATCCCGTCAAAGTCTGCGTTTTGCTAATATGATCCCGTCGCCTGCTTCTTGTTTCTTTTCCTGCCGTCGGCTGCATTTCTTGCTCCTCTCCTAAAATTATATTTTGAGCCCTCCCTATTGTGGAGTTTTCCGAGCTCCTCACTCTGTTATCGTCACTCACCGCTGCCGTCTCAGTTGACCTTTAATCTTCAACTTCCGGTCTCTTGCAGGTTCTTTCGGGCTCATCATACCTTCCCCCTTCTAGTCCTCTCTTCCATGTATATAGACGGGCACATTATTTTCTTTATTTTTTTTATGGTTAATTTTAGCACTGCTGCGAGCTCTAGTTTTCCCTTTTTGGTGTGGGAAGCCGTTAACAAAACAGGCTATACGGGTGGTATTTGATTTTAAGATAGAAGCTCAAAGTAGCGTAGTTGAAAGAATCATGATTTTAACGGCAACATGAACTGTGGTATTTGAAGGGGAATGTATATTGGAATCATAATTGATCGAGAAGAAGATAAACTGTGCAGGAAGCGAACGTGTGAGCCATTGGGGTGACAACAGTGAGGATAATTGGATAGGAAGAGCCCGCAAATACGGGCATTTCTCGAATGGAAGATTTTCGACACGGAGGGATATATTCAGGCACACTTACACACATAAAGAGAGAGGTTTATAGGAATAGTAACTTGAGAACTTAACTGTATCATAAACGTGGAGAATGTAGCGTTTTTCCCCCGTCCCCTCTTGGAGTGAATCATTGCGATAATGATCAAATTATATTATTATTATTATTCTTGGAACAAAAATTTTTAAGGTAGTTAGGTCGAAAGTCTCATTAGGATAGACCTTGTGGTCAGTACAAATATTGTCCTCATGTCGATAGCAAGATTTAAAAGCTATTGACCAAGTCCTTATTAGCTGAACTAACCTATGTTGGGTTTATTATCTATGTTATTCCAGCTGATGTTTGTATCTGACTGAATTCATTGGAAGCTAAATATGATAATCAATTATTATGCCTGTTGAAATAAGCCAATTAAAGTAGCCCGGCTCAGTCATGTACTTCAGTCTCAAGGTTGAATATTTTGCAAAACCTGGCGACCACTTTTTCAGATTTGTTTTGCTTTTGGTTGTGCTATTCCAAAGAGACTAGTAAATATTTGAAGTGATTAATGTTATGTAACTACTATTTCTTTTTGAAAAAAAGGAAATAGAAAATTAAGGTAATTATTACAGTTCACAACAACAACAACAACAAGCCTTATTCAGAAAATTAAGGTAATTATTACTGCTCCCTTCAATTAAAAAGAAAAAGAACAAGTTCAAGAATAAATTTTGGAAAAGAAAAATTCACCGATGAAATATTTGAGGAAATAAAGAATAATAATAGAAAATAAAATATAGCTCAGGTTGACATGTGGTTCTAGGTCAGAGGATTAGGACTTTATCTCATTTGTGTATAAATTATACAGATGTAGTTCATTTCATGTGTTAGGATATTAATTATATATCTGATATCATCAAGTGACTTCTCTTAGTCAGGTTATAGTTTTTTGTTTGTTATTTATTTTTTCAGGAAATAAATGTAAGAAGGAGAGTTGTTAAATTCATGGTACATTATGTTCCATGACTTTTCTAGAGGTAAAGATACATGCATCCAATACTTTTGGTTTATAATGGTGCTAGACTTAACTCAGAATGCTAATTATGGTCAGAGATTCTCTTGAAACATTTAACAAAGTGTCTTGTTATGTGCATATTGAGGAACTCAGATGAAAAATAATACATCTATTCTTATTGAAAAAAATAAGAAGGATAGTGAGTCTGAGGTTTTTGATTTATTAGGTTCTAAAAGGTACAAGAGATTCAATGTTTGTTTGAATATGGGGAACAAAATGAGATAGGTATCTTTTTCCTGGATAACTTATCATGAGCAAACAATGTTAGTAACAGAAAGGAAAAAGTTTTCATCGAATCTTATCATTTTAATTTTTTTTTCTTGTTTCTTTTTTGCTTTTGGATAGATTTGGAAGTGCATAAATTTTCATTTTAAGATTTTTTTACAGCTTTGCCTTCCATCCATTTTGAAGGGTAAAAGAAAACAAAGGAAAAATGTGTTTTTTAGGGAACTCCTCTTTCATTGGCTTTCTTTTTACCTCTATCAAAATCTACCCAGAAAAGGGATCAAACTTTTCAATTCAAAAGGAGTTGTTAGGAAAACTATCAAAGACACATCCACAAGATGGGATATGTCTAAAATTCTAGCATTCTAGAACGTTCTGTTAATAAATATGTGTCAACATTGGGTAATGGCTGGCAAAGGTAATTGACTGTCGAAAATCTAGATAAAGCCATTTCATCTGCTAAGCCCAGTCTGACTCTTCCCATCTTCATTCTCCTTGTGCATAATCCTTGTGTGTTGAGTCACAGGTGGAACAAATTGGACAGATAATTTGCATAATTAAGGTATCTGTGGTATCCAGGTCTATATCCTTATGTTTGTTGATCTTCGGTTGCCAATGTTATCAAATCCCTAGGGCTAATATTTTGGTGCGAATATCTTACGATCAAGGTTGTGGGATCTAGATTTTGGTTTCCTTCGGGGCATTGAATTAGGAAACGCCTCTACAAGAAAAATTAGCCTTTATACATTATCATTTTTCTACACAAAGCAAATGAATAATATTTTGTAAAGCCTAATCTGGTAGTAAATTCTAAACTGGAGATTGATATATGCTAAATATGGGTTAGCGAGATTAGGTGTTTTACTGCCTAGGTCATTTAACCAAATGCAAAATAAAAACACTTAAGGCTCTGCATAAGCTGAATTTGATTTCATTGGATTTAGTTTATGCGTGCGCGTCATGATACATCAAATTATAGAGGATATCACAATAGAAGTCAGCTGATGAAATTGATGGCAAATCACTAGACCTTCCCCACTATTAGAAAAGTCTAATTGCTTTTCATACTAAAAATTATACTCTCAGCTTTCTCAAATTATAATGATATTAAATATATATATATATATGGCCACAAATTCACTTTCATAGATGCCAAATATCTGAAGAGTGTATATATAATTGCATACTTTTCCCGGTGGAGCTGTAATTGGTCAATATAAATGTGTCTTTAGAGCATTATGTTGTTGATTCTATTCATTCCTACCTGCCTTTATTGCTGATATAAAGTAAGTTGGATATTTTTTATTGTGTTTTTTGGTCAAGTGATACAACCGGGGTGCAGTTCCCCATCCCCCTTCTATGGGGTCTGTGCCTTTCAAGTGAACAATGGAGGATCTTGAACTGAAAAGTGGGATTCTAGCTATATGATTATAGGCTTTATGATAATGGATGAGAGTTCTTGGTTGTTTTGGACCTATTGATCTATTTAATTTGATATTTTAAAATCCCTCCCCTGTGGGCTAGGTTACTGGACAGTGGCAGGCATGGTTTTCTAGGTTCTCTTATGGAAAACGAATTAACGAGGAAATACTTTATTCCAGTGAATTAGTTAGACCTTGGAAGGTGAAAAGTGGATATGGTTAGTTTAAAACGTTTGTTTTGTTTATACTCTTTGTTCCTAAATTAGTAAAATTTAATGCTGAACAAATCTCTAAGACTGAAGTGGAATTTCTTGTGGAAGGACTTTAGGTAGTTTATATAACATCTTATGCCTTTGAGCAAGGAAGCTAAAAAGGAGTTCAGTGCTTGTGCTTAATGCAACACATTTTTCCTTTGAAATACTAGCTTGTTCCTCACTTCTTGGTGCAATTTTCTGCCATCAATCTAATGCCTGCCATAGTTGCTTTGAAATAAAGTCATTTCTGATTCCAATGTGCAAAATATCAATTGTCATATGCTCAAAAGTCATGCATACTGACTAATTCTGCTATATATGTGTCTCACATGTTTGTTATGCCTCTTGCTAGTGTATGCTCGTGATTTTCCCTCTAATTTTCAAGAATGAGGAACTCTAAGGAAGATCCATCAAGTAGCAATGCACAGGCAAGCACATGTGACTTAAATATAAGCTGAATTCATAAAAATCCCTCCCATGTCCTTTCTCATGTCAAGAATATGAATAAGATATACTTATTTGCTTAAACAGGTGCTTGACCTGATATCGGCAGTGAAGGAGTTACATGGGCTTAGTTCTCAGGAGCTTAATAGATTATTGAGGGACTCTGAAAATTTTACTATTCACTACCTAACCAGAAAAGGATCCATGAGCAAGGTTGTCTTTGTCTCATGTTCAAAATTTATCATGTTCTTGTTTTTATCTATTTGTTTTATTTGATCATGTTTGTGTGCAGATTGATATGGAAAAGCTTGCAGGATCTCTCCCGTTGCATCTTATTGCAGTGCTAATCTCATCTGATAGGGATGAATCAATGATGAGATATGTATTATGTGGTATGCGCCTCTTGCAGTCCTTATGTGATTTATCTCCTCGTAACTCCAAACTTGAACAGGTTAGTATCAGTAATGCCCATTAACACATATATTCTCTTCTTTGCTTGTTTTCTCTATGGAGAAGACATGATAAGAAACATTTCAAATAGTGACTAATGGCTTGAGATGTTGGCGACCCTATCTTAAAGAAGAGCATGAGCTCGGTGCTAAGTTGGTAATACTTTATCCATATTATATTGAGTGGTTGGAGGGGAGGTAATAAAATCAGTCCCTCCGGAGTCACTATTTCTTATTCCATGCAGTTTCTTACTGTTAACAACAATAAGTCATACATTAAAAAGGGATGCATACATGAACATCATAAGTTTCATGGAAGCTGTATTCATTTTTTATGCACCTTGTTGGTTGCAGAAAAATGACCTAATATTGTGAATACAGTTATTTATTTTCCAAATTCGAAGATTATAGTAACACCTTGATGGTAGATCTGATTTCTGTGCTTGAAACATGATTGCAGATTTTTCTAGATGATGTGAAAGTGTTGGAACAGTTGATTGACTTGGTTTTCTATGTGCTAATAGTTCTTGGTGGTTACAAACAGGTTTTCTTTAGCTCTTGTTTTTGTAGTTTAAACTTCTGTACCTTTAATCTGCACTTAGCTTTTCCACCCATGTTTCAGGAAGGCCATACTTTTAGTTTTAAACACCTTTGGCATTCAGCTCTTGTGGCATGCAGTTTACATCTATTAACTGGGTTTATATCAACACAATGGCAAGATATTGTTCATGTATTGCTTGCTCACCCCAAGGTAAAGTTCTCCTTCAGCCGGTTCTTAGTTGCTGGATTAGAAGAAAATATTCTTTTAGAGTCTATATGTATGAATATAAAGGATTTATGATGTCTAAACTATTTAAAAGCCAATATCTTGTGTGGCATCTCTTTGCCATTGCATATGCTATGGGATAGGGTTGTGTTCATTTCCTTAATTTGGTGTTTGGTGCAAGTTTGTTTCAAGGAAGTCTCGATTTCTAAGATTGTAGAGAGATTGGTCAACTCTTTTCTTTCTTTCTTTCTTTCTTTCTTTTTTTTTAAATTTTATTTCCATTCCTCTCTCCCTTCTTTTATTTGGTTGTTTTGAGCATGCCTTCTCATACCCCCTTGTTGCATTTCTAAGTTTTAGATTGTCTCAACACTTTAAAAAGGTTTTGTTGGTCTCAAATGTTCTTTTTAACTGACAAAAAGCCACCATGCAAATCTAATTAATTTTTGTCCCATCGAATTGTTGCATAGATCTAGAATTGTCTTACGGATTCTTGTATTTTTCTGCCAGCTGATTTCTATCATAATGTAATTTATATTTTATAATTTATAACAGACCTATTGTATAGCTAATTATGAAGCTTTCTGTGACAGGTTGACATCTTTATGGATGTGGCTTTTGGATCAGTTCGCATGATTGTTAGGTTTCTTGAGATTACCTTGTCAGCTTACCATGAAGACGATTTTGTGGGGCCTAATCTTACAGCTGAACGAGTAGTTTATTTTCTCACCCAGCAGTGTGAGGCTTCTTTACAGTTTCTTCAGTCATCGTGCCAGCAAAAATTGTTTAAGGAGCGCGTACTCAGGAACAAGGTTTTCCAAACTAGACTTTCTTTATAAATTTGGAGAAACATGCTCAAGAAGTCTTTGTAAGAGGGAATTTCTTTTTCCTGTTATATAAATTTAAGAATCAAGGACTACATGGTTCTGTAGACAGTCAACTCTCTCTCTCTCTCTCTCTCTCTGTGTGCACGCATGTGTGCACGCGCACACGCACACACATGCGCGCACACATGCTGATTACTGAAAATCTATGAAGTGGAAGTCTCATTGCATCCACTGTGTTTCTTGCAGTCACAAATCCTATTTAGTTTATAAAGGAATCGAACTAAATTTTTCTTTAGTCCCTATCAGTAACAACAGCATTCTGTTTCCATCTTTGAGAAGGGTCCACAAATCCTTCTTTGATTCCCATAATCATGTGAAAAAATTAAACTATGTATTCCTCTCCAACCTGGATACTGTTAGTTATGAGAACCTATCCTTGGCATAGCACTTTGTTGCATTCTTCTAGATTACCACTTTCCATAAAGTGTTTTGCATTCCATCTACTCAACTCTTCTTTACATTCTTTTCCTTTGTTCTTTTTTTCAAAGCTACTCAGTCTCTTAACTGCCAGCTAATGTAGCATACCTTTAAGAGGACGGATAGTTAGGGTGAGAAGTGGGACTTTACGGGGCCATGGACTTTGTTTAACAAACTGACTAATTGCAACTTATTCATCATAGGAGATCATTAATGCCAATCCATTGATTTGTTCAATTTATGGGATGAAATGTGCTTTTGCTTTATATATGAACTGCATTTTTCAAAAAGGAACTTATAATTTCAGGAATTATGTGGAAAGGGCAGTATTCTTTTTCTGATTAGGTCCATTCTGAAGTTAGACATTCAACCGTATTTTCCAACCAGGATTTTGGCTGCTTTATCCCGGCTAAAATCTAAGATACTATCCCTTGTGAGTTTTAATCTTCTATAAATCATTGCTTTTAAGTTAGATCTAATTGATAAGTTGGGCATTTTAATGATTAATCTTCCATGACTCTGTCATCAGTTGCTGAGTTTGTGTGAAGCAGAAAACACTTCTTACCTTGACGAAGTTGCCAGTTCATCACAAAGTTTAGATTTGGCTAAGACTGTTGCTTTAGAGGTTAGTTTCAGCTTGTAGCTTACTATGTACATCGTCAAGCATAAATGATTCCATTGCTTTAATGCACTTTGGCTAATAATTGGCTGACTGGAAATTATTCCCTTAAAAGGATTTAGTTATGGGAGAATTACAAGTAGGTCCCACACAAGAGAATTAATTAATGCAAGGTCCATTGATAACTGAACTAAAAGTTCAAAGTTTAGTTGTCAATGGACCTTGCAGTAATTAATTCCCTTGTGTGGGACTTTAATATAATTGTCCCTTTAGTTATAGCATTGTAAACTTTTTCTACTGCTCAATTTTAATTGGTGTGAAATTTTACACATCCACTGATTGATTGATTGATTTTGTATACTACTCAAACAATATGATTATAGTTTTTTTTTTCTTTTTTAGTTTATCTTTTGAAACATTTTAATTACTCTTGTGCCATGATGATTTACAGAAAGCATTTGTTCCTTTAATGTGTCAAACTTGTATATTGTCTTCCTATGCCAATGCCCAATCCATTGGCCTTGAACATAGTTTTATGCATTAATCATGTATATGTCTTGGCTGTTTATGTGGCTTAACAGATGTGGTATTTTTCATGAGCCTTGGCTGTGTTCTGTAAATCTGCAAAATTTTTCAGACAATAAGTTCTCTGGTTTTTGCTGAAGAAGGAGCTTTAGGCTTTTTGGCAGTGCACTGTCTTGGTTGGTCTGTGGGGTATTTTGTTAGGAAAGAATGTGAGTGTTTGATCAGAAATTTTTGACCTCACAACTGAACTGAGGAGAATCACATTTTTTGGCCTCAGGTTTCAGCACTTTTTTAAGGGGGCTTGTGGATTTACCATGGGATTGGACAGTTCCATGAACATGTTAGCCTGCCTTTTTTCTTTTAATTTCATTTGTTTTGGAGGATTTCTCATCCTTGGGTTTTGGTATTGCTCTTCTCTCAATGAATCATTTTTTCTGCATAGAACAAAAAGCATGCCTAGGTATTTATTACCATTCATTTGCTTATAATATGGCTGTCATGTTTCAGGTTTTTGATGTGTTGAAGACTGCTTTTGGAAAAAATCCTCAGAATCTCAAAACTGACAAGAACTATCCGATGGGGTTTTTACAGCTCAATGCAATGCGTCTGGCTGACATATTCTCTGATGATTCAAACTTTCGATCTTACATGACAATTTGTTTTGTAAGTTATCGTTATAAGAATATAAAAAGTTGACATGCTTATAGTTATTGGCCTCACTCCTGTCATGCCACCACTGTAGATTTTGGCTCTAGCATTTTTTTAAAACGATACTCACAAGTTAACGGGGGAAAAATGGTCAAATCTTCATCTTATTTGGCTCTTTTTTTTCCTTTAAATTTCTTAATACTTTTCGTGTGATTCCAGACTAAAGTTCTGGCAGCAATATTTGTGCTCTCCCATGGGGATTTTTTGTCCTGTTGGTGCTCTTCTAACCTCCCGGAGAAGGAGGAGGATGCAACTCTTGAATATGATATATTTGCTGCAGTTGGATGGATCTTGGACAATACTTCATCGCAGGATCTATTAAATGCGGCAAATTTGGAGTTTAACCTTGTCCATAACAGCATGCCTCAGGCTTCTTATGCACATCATAGGACTTCATTATTTGTTAAAGTCATAGCAAATCTTCATTGTTTTGTCCCCAACATATGTGAAGGTTAATTTTTTGCCTGTGTTTTGATCTTTTTCTGGGAAAAACTTAATTGGTTTACAGCAATATCTATATATATATATGTATTCATATTTTCCTCACGTGATTTATCAGTTATTATTTTAATCCCCAGAGCAGGAGAGGAACCTTTTCGTTCTTAAGGTTTTGGAGTGCTTGCAGATGGATTTAAGTGACTTGCTGCCTGGCTTTTCTTTTGCCTCTGATGCTCCTAATGCAACCAGCATCTGCAAAAACCTCCGTAATGATTTGTCTCAACTTATTCTTGTTGCGGAAATATCATTAAAATACGGTTAATTCTAATAAGAATCTTTCTTGTGTAGGCTCATTGTTAAGTCATGCAGAATCCTTGATTCCAAACTTTTTAAATGTGGAGGATGTGCATCTTCTAAGGTTACTTTTGCTCTCTCAGTTCTGATTTAAGGCTTGGTTTGGATGGAAGGAAAATTGGGAGAAAATATGGAGGAAAGAATAATAGGAGGGAAAACTCCAATTATTTACTAATAATTGGAGTTTTCCCTCCTAGTATTCTCTCCTCCTTATTTTTCTGCCCATCCAAACTAAGGATATATGTTGAATTCTAAATAATTGCTTAAGTGGAATATGTTAGATAAATATGAATTTTTATATGAAAAATTATTATTGAAATATGCTTTACTCCATGCATGAGCTGCTTATAAGCAAAATGTTAGGAAAGAGTTACTGTTTTTTTTTTAAACAAAAAGATGTTACTTGAAAACTATAATCTAAAAAGGGGCATGAATTATTCTATGAAGAATCAAAGCATATGAAATGGCTGCAAGTCTGTCCATTAGGTGGGGTGCATGGTCTTTCTTCCACAGCAAAGATGAAAGTGGCAGAAAAGTTGAAATGAATGGACTTGTCAATATTTAATCTAAGAATAATTCAGATAAATTTAATACCTTCTATGAGTGTTGTCAAAAGTACTTAGCTTATCTCTTATCCATTGTAATTCAGTTTATAAACAAAAATAGGATTTGATTATTGTGTTGATGGGCAAATATTTGATTATATAAAAGCTTATTTGGTAGTCTGTGAGTAAAGAGCTTTGTGCTTACAAGAAGGAGAGCTCACTGGGGGCATGAGAGGGAGCTTTAGTAATCCTTGTATGCTTATTCGATCCCTAGGAAGTATTAACCAACACTTTTCACTTATTCCGTCAAAGCTTTTTGTGGCGTTGTGTATGCTTAATCTTTATATGTAATCGCTAATTTTTTCTGTGATGCAAGCGAAAGTTTTTGGAATTTCAATCTCCAAGAGTCAAATTGAAAATGTGTTCTTGACATTGTTAACTCGATTTGCATTTTGTTTACTTTCTTTCTTTTTTTTCATTTTAACACTGTTAAGAAGAGCCATACAAAGTTCATTCCTGTATCATTAAAGCAAAAATGAAAATTTAGTTTATGAAGATCCATTCTCTACTTGCGTGTTTAAACATATAACTTGTATATCTAAGTTGTTTGCAGGGTGTTTTCTGACAAATTGGAGTCACTAATTACTTCTGCTGGATTTAGAGCAAATCGTGTTCAAGTAAACCTTTGTCCTTTATTCTTAAGCATTTGTATTATTTGTTTCTGATTTATTTCTACTTATTTTTTATTTGTATTTATTTCTCATTACTGATGTTCTTTCTTGATCTGTGTTTAAATGATTTAAAATATTGCGTTCTGTTGGAGAAACTCAGGATAGCAAGGACTTATCTTGTGACAAGTTTTCCAAACTAAACATCAATGAATATCAGGTGTGTGCCAGATGTTTTCTAAAATTCATTGTGAGCATATAATATTTCTCACTAGGCATGCACTCCAGTCTTCGCTTTGAGACAAGGAACAAAATATTGCTTTAGCAGCGACTTATATCATGACAAGTTTTTCGAACTTCACATCAATGAATATCTGGCATGTGCCAGAAGTTTTTTCTCAGCTCCAGAGTAAGTGAGCATATTGTATTTAGCACATGAGACATGCACTTCTGTCAACACTTTAATACCTTCTTAAGGAAAAAAAATTTTCACTCTCGATTTTTTTACACTTTTTAGATGCTTTCTGGATATGTTTCATCCATACTGGGCATATTTCAGGGATAAATTAAAATGCTCCCACAAGGCTTATGTATTATACTCCCTTCGTTTCAAATTATAGGACACTTTTGAATAAAATTTTCCATACTAATAAACCTCACTAAATACATTTAACAACCTCTTTTTTTCAAAACAAAAATATAAACTTCCAAAAATACCTTTGATTTAATATATTAAAAAGAGGGGTGAAAATTAAATAAAGAAAGAAAGAAGGAGTAATATTGGAATAATCCTATTTAATGAAACTTAATCTTTTCAAAGTGTTTTATATTTTGAGATGTTGAATCTCTCTTAAAAGCATCTTTTAATTTGGGATGGAAAGAGTATAACTTTAACACATGTCTGGCATGTTCTGTGGCTTCATTTTAGGTTTTGTGTTTTAATGTCAGCATGATGTCTATATCCTGTGTCATAACTACGCATCAAGAATGAGGAATTTACCATGTTGCTTGTCCTCAACAAAGTGAGTTGAGTAGCAGTTTGATTTATTAATTCCTTGTAGGAGGCTCAGAGTCCTGACAGATGCTCATCACCTTTACGGGCAAAAGAACTTGCTGATCTTACAAAGAAGAGTAGTCATTTAAGGGAAGGAATGTCTGAGAATTCTGCATTCTTGGACATAAACCATTTTGATGCCAGAGCTGAAGATATTAATCAAGGTTCTGGCCCAAATCCGCAAGATAATAGGGAAGATAAAATTATTTCTGGTAAGACTGCATCAGAATGTGCAAGACATGCAGAGAAGGATGTCCCAAATGTTGAAACAAGTGGTTCTGATACCAGTTCTGCAAAAGGTAAGAGTGTTATTGATCATATGGACAATGCTGAGCTTTCAAAATCAGCTGAACGTGTTCAAAAGGTTGGAGTTGGAGAAAATCCAGAAGATGAGAAGGTTGAAACAAAACAGAGGAAAAAACGAAAGCGAACTATAATGAATGATAAACAGGTGATGTTAATTGAGAGAGCACTGTTGGATGAGCCTGAGATGCAGCGAAATGCAGCTTTACTACTGTCCTGGGCTGAAAAATTAAGCTTTCATGTATGTTCAAGTGTTACCTTCCTCATATATATATATATATATACATACTAATTATGCTTAATGATATGTTTGTTCTGAATCTTTCCTGCATTGTGTTGTCCAGGGTTCCGAAGTTACACCTTCACAGCTTAAAAATTGGTGAGGATGCCGATTTACCTTTTTTACAGCTTGCATTTCAAATAGTTTGAAGTTGTTTCTTGGGAGAATGACAACTAAGGACCTCCTAAGAAGGTTAATACTAAATCAGGATTTTTTTTTTTGGAAAATTTTCAATGCTGAAACATAGGAGGATAATTATTGAATTTGGAATCTGAAGTTATGATGAGATCCTGATTTGACATTCATGTTCTCATGAGGTCCTTAGTTATGATGAGATCTTCCTTGCAATTTGCTGGACAACTGAAACTTACAGTTGGTGGGGTTGGATTTTTTTTAAAATTTTTTTATAGCTAGTATTGGGGTTCTGCAGGGTGGGGGATTGGGAAAAATAAATAAGCAAGAAAAGACAATGATATACCTTATTGTCCGTTTAGGATGATATAGCAAAACATCCAGTGTGGAATCATATGCAATTTTTTTCTTCCGAAGCTGAATTTGACAAAATTTTACCACCAATATCTTGTATAAATTTTTATATGAAGTTGAGGTGTTATTTGGTATTGACCCTTCTCAAGTTTCTTCTATATTTGCTTACCAGTTTTGGCTGTTGAAAAACCCACACATGATAAATATAGCCAGGTATATTATAGGGAAAAGATAAAAGCATGAAACTAACTGTTTCTATGAAATATTTATAATGCAAGTTTCAGACACTGGCACATTGTTTACCCTCGGGTCTGCACTATGTTAATCAATCATAAGCCCCCATTGTACCACGTGTCCTTTGTTTTTTTTTTTGGAAGTTTATGGAATTTCACAATCATCTGCCTATCATATCAGGCTGAACAATCGAAAAGCTAGGCTAGCCCGCACTGCTAGGGATGTTCGAGCAGCAGCAGATGTCGACACCTCAGTCCCTGACAAGCAAAAGGGGCCGGTACTGGGCTCCTATGACTCCCCAGATAGTCCGAGTGATGCATCAAATGCAAGAAAAGAGCTTCCAATTCAATCTAATATTAGTTCTGGTTATAAGGTGGATGGTTTGAGGGCTGAATTTGTTGATCTCGGGCTTCCAGAAGCTGGTTGCAAGACAGGTCAGTATGTTGTGCTCGTAGATAAGCGAGGAGAGGAAATTGGCAAAGGGAAGGTGTTTCAGGTTAGCGGTAAGTGGCATGGGAAGAGTTTGGAAGAATTAGAGACATGTGTTGTGGATATTTGTGAGCTTAAAGCTGATAAAGGTTCGCGGCTACCTTACCCATCTGAAGCCACCGGCTCCTCATTTGCAGAGGCTGAAACCAAGTTACGTGTCATGAGAGTGTTATGGGATTCAAACAGAATTTTCGTGTTGAGGTCTGATTGAGTTAAATGAATGTTTTAATGGTTGTCTCTTCTGTTACCTGTTGGCAAGCTCATATCCTTATCCACCGATTTACTGTATGGCTAGTTGAGCTTGCATTTAGCGATGGCAGGGTCGAGGAGATAGTGGAGGATGATTTCAAACAATGTGAGGGACATCATGCAGCGAAAATGGTCGGGATTTGTGTTGTTTTACATAACATGTTTCGAAGAAGTATCCATTAATATGACAATTAACAATTTATGTTATGATGATAACTTTAAGGAATCTCAGGATTAAAATTCTAATTAGAAAGACGAAACAACTCTGAATCCAATTTGTTTCATATTAACAATGATAACGATTCCAGATGTGTTAGGTCAAGAACTGGTGTAGGGAAGACCGCTTTTAGGAAGAATTTTAAATAAAGACAAGCGATGTGATATAATTATTAGTAGGTTCTAAAAAATTTTGAAATTTTTGGAGGATAAAAGTGAGAAAAATTTCAATTATCGAAAGAACAAAGTACCATTAGCAAGTCAAAGGAAAGGGAGAAATCCACCAAATGTGGGGTGTTTCCATTCCTCCTCTCCATTTCCCTAAAAACGGTACTAGATTATTAATAAAATAGAGAAAAAAAAAATAAAAAGCAACTAACAGGCAAGTAACATTTTATTGGACCCGATTTCGCTTCTCCCACTGGTTTAAAATATCTACTTTTTATGTTTATTAAAATATTATAAAAAATTTAATAATATGTTTTGTTACTTATTTGGGTAGTTTAAATTTAATATAGGTGATCCTAATTTAGTATTAATTTTTTTTTATTTTTTATAAATTAACCATCAAAATATATTTTAAATAATGCAGATTTAATATTAAGATTATCATTAATATTAAATCTGAATTGTCGGTGATTATAATTAATGATTTTTAAAATTTTTATAAATTAACTATTCAGTATGTTCTGGATAATACAAGTTTAATATTAAAGTTATAAAAAATTTAATAATAAATTTAAGCGATTCATAATAAATATGAATTAATCAAATTGTTGATCAGATTTGATAACAAAAATTATATTTTTAATTTTATAAATATAAAATTAAAATTAGGAGAGAAGCTAGATCCGATAGGGTGAAGGTGCTTTTTTATTAGTTGCTTTCCATTTTCTTTTATATTTTCTAATAGTCTAAACAACATGTTTTAAGGAAATGAAAGAAAAATGAAAAGGAAGGAAGGGGGGTACCCCCACACTCGAAATCTATCATAGTACTTACTATTTAGAATTGTGCAAAAGTTTGATGATTCTGTCCAACATGAAAAAAACTAATTTGGTCTAATCTTGTAAAAAAATTGACTTGAAGAACTAAAAGGACTAATAAGATCAAACTTCATATTTGAGCTAAACTAGATATGAGATAAAGTTTTTTAAAACACAAGGTCTAGATTGGTCCTATGAAACTATTTAAATATAATTAAAATTATTTTTATTTTTTAATATAGTTGAATGTAAAGATTGAGGCCTAATGCCGAATTGTTGAACACAAGGCCCCCCTTCATTCCTTGTTTTCTTATCTCTTTTCTCTTGAAGCTTGTTGTTAACTTGTTTTAATGTATTTCAAGTGTGTTGAAATCGTTAAATGTTGTCATGGATTATAAATAAAATATTTTTTTATTGTTGAAAATTGTTATGGATTTATTATGATTTTTTTACAAAGAATTTATTATGATTAACTTTTAATGTTTTGTGATAAATTTTATATGATTATAAATATGTTTATTCTCTTAATTGAATTTATTAAATTGAAATGAATTGTTACTTCTCATAGAGAAAAAAAGGGAGGACAAGGAGAGGCACTAGACTATCAAAACTCATCTCCTAATCTTATGAATCAAGTCTAGTTATATTCAACTTTAAGTTACACATGGACAGGATTAGATTATGAGTTGCCTGATCAAATCCTTTTAATAAAAGAGACTAGAATTTGAGTTAAGCTAAAATCCTATCTTATTAATCAATTTTTTGTGCAAATAAAGTCCTGTTAATCTTTTGTGTTGCCTTATAGTACTTGGATTTAGAGTATTCTTTCTTATACTCGCAGACTTTCTTATTTACTGGAGACTGATGAGTTCCATATATGAGTAGAGTCAAGAATAAGGGTCGAGCTCGAAGGCTTTGTTTAAATAAGGGTTGGAATTTTGAAAATTATTTTTTTAAAGTAACCGAAGTTGAGGGCTTGGCTCTGATAAACCATATAAAAAAAAGCTCGGGCTCAGACAGCCCTTTAAGTCCTGCTATATTATTATTATTATTATTATTATTTAGTGAAACATGAATTTAAAGCCAAGAAAAACTTGCTCGCCTAAAACCTTGATCCTATACATGTTATATTATTATTAATTTTAATTTATCCTAAAATTAATTTAATATAATTTAATAGATATCAATGTACGGTATAAAAGTTTTGATATTTTTTATGTTTTTTATAATTATTATATTTGTGTATTTATAAAAAATGAACTATTTTTTTAATCAAAATTTAAATTTTCTTACTAGACTTCTAAATATATGTTATTTAATTTATAATAGATTATGAAGATTTTATTTTTTTTAATTTTAAAATATTTTGATTAATTTATAGTGCTTTTTTTTAATTTTTTTAATTTTTTCAGAATAGGGCTTATGGGCCGGCCCTGAGCCCTTTAAATAAGGATTGGTTTTCAAAAAAATGGATGGAAAATGAAAAGCCAAGCTTAAGAGCTCAGGTCCTTATGAGCCAGGCCATTAAGGATTGAGCCCGCCCGTTTTCCAACTCTATATATCGGACATAAGATTGGTGCACTTTTTTTAGTTTTTAGTTAACATATTATTTAAATTTTTTACCTCTTATTTTTTACTAATAAAAAAGAAACTCATATGATGCAAAATTGAAAATTCAAACCCCTTTCAATTTTGCCATTTTATCCGAGACAGATCATCATGGGAAATGTAAATGTAAATATATTTTAAAAAACCTTGTTAAAAACACTTTATCGTCTTCGTAGTTTTTTTTTCCAAGTTAACCTGAAAAATTTAAATTTAATGTGATTTACTGATCTGTTATTCGGATCCAATTGAATTGGGACTAAAAGCTCGAATGTACTTAAAAAAAAGAGAGAAACAACAAAATTGCGATTAATGAACCCGTCACTCCCTTCGAAATATTGGGCCGGGCGGGGCACTTTCTGAAGCAAGCAACGCGGTCCAATATTTTGGATATCTTCGACAGCAGATATATAATGCGCTCTTTCTCCCTTGCTGAAAACCCTAGAGTCAGCCAGTACATCTGCATCTCGAGCGCAGGTATCTTTCCTGTTATTCATTGTTGTCGGTGCCCTCATCTTATGGAACTTCAGCAGGTTAATGTCTTCTATCTATTTGGCTTTCAGGGTTTCGAGGAGATTTGACAGGCGAAGTTTCATTTTCGGTCATCCATGGCGCCGCCTAAAGGTAACTCTTAGGTCTTAATTTTTCTATGTTTCTTTTGTATTTGCATTTGCTCTGGCTTCCCTTTTTTGCCCCAACTTTGCCATTGGGCTTGGAGAATCCATATGCAGTTACATTCTAATTCAGCTATGGGAGGGTACAACATCATGCTAACTCTGCAAGCTCTGAATATGATTGTTAGTATGAAACACAGCAATTGCGTTGCTTGGAATAATATAGTTTTGCTGTGGCCTTGGCTTATATAAGTTGGATGTCAATTATCTGAGCCCTGAATTGTGGTTTAAAAAAAAAAAAAACACCGAAGTGGCAATGAATAAGGAGATCTTGGTAATCCTTAGTAAATCAGCTGAAATTTACTGTGTATATCCTTACCAAGCTCTGTTAAGCTACTTTTGCCGACCCCCCTTTTTTTTTTTCCGGTGCCGTCGCCCTTGGCAAATATTAGAGAAACATTGGCTAACTCCAATACTACTCCCAGCCTCTGTTTTTACATTGCTGTATGAGAAAGAAAGCCTTATTTTGGCATAAGCTGCTATACCTCTAGTCTAGTTAAATGTTCTTGGCGCAAGGTGCCATGATTTCTTTCCTATAATGCATGTATTCTGGTTGTGACCAATGGCTAATATTGATTTCCTCCTTTGCTAGTATCTCATATTACAAGGTTAATTTGATAGTAATGGAGTGGGGTGTGATATTTCAGGGCATCATTTATGAAAGAGGTACAATGGTTATTATGGTTATGACAAAACATGAGTGCATTTGCTCTCTGCATCGTCATATTTCTCTTCATAAGCTTGCTGACGATTTATTTTATTCGCATGGCATTCTTACATATCTGCCAGTTTTTGACGTTAATCAGCTAAAAACTACATTCTTTTACATCCTTGTGTTCATAGGTTGAGTGGTTTTAAGTTCCTCTGACTGATCACCCACGTAAAAGTGTGAACTTAGTTGTCATTGGACATTCCACTTATTGCTGTCAATGATCTTCCATTTCTGTGCATGATGATGCATGTAATAACATGAATGGCTCATTTCCTCTCCATCAATCCATCAAAGATAAAAATTTTCAAGGGAAAAAAAAGGCTCTTTTCCTATGTTGCTTAATTTAGTTTTTGTGCAGCTGATATTTCAAAGAAGACTGACCCTAAGGCACAGGCCTTGAAAACTGCCAAGGCAGTCAAATCAGGGCCGACTTTCAAGAAGAAGGCCAAGAAAATTAGAACATCGGTCACATTCCATCGACCCAAGACTTTGAAAAAGGATAGAAATCCCAAGTACCCTCGTATCAGTGCTCCACCAAGAAATAAGCTAGACCATTATCAAATTCTTAAGTATCCTCTCACCACAGAGTCAGCAATGAAGAAGATTGAAGACAACAACACTTTGGTTTTCATTGTTGACTTGCGGGCAGACAAGAAGAAGATAAAGGATGCAGTGAAGAAAATGTATGACATTCAAGCCAAGAAAGTGAACACTTTGATCAGGTGAACCTCTCGAATATATACTACTGTGATTCTTAACAGTTGCTGATTAGTGATTACACGTAGATAGTTTTCTTGATTAATTCTCTGAATTCCTCTATATTCTTTGCTAGATTTTCTAGAGCTTCGCTGAGTGGGGTGCTTGTTTTCTATTTCTGTTTTCCAGTAAGGATTGGTTTTTATGTGCCAGAAATAAGAATGAGTATTGATAGTTGATTCTGTTCATTTATTGAGAAATAATTTGGATCTCATTGTAGAATGCTGAATTTTTTATGGGGGCTATTTGGTTTGAGCTATTGTTGTACTCATTGCCCATTTTATGTCGAGTAATTTATTATGGGTTGCTTTAATTTTAAGCATCTTCATTGTATTTATATTTATGCTGTTGCAGGCCCGACGGTACCAAGAAAGCCTATGTCAGGTTGACTCCCGATTATGATGCCTTGGATGTCGCGAACAAGATTGGAATCATCTAAATTTTGGTGGCTTCTCCTTGTTTATGTATTTGCGCTTGATTTTAGAATGTTTAAGGAGCCCATTGACCGGAGACTTTGTGATGTGGTTTTGACGTTTTATTCTGTGTTTTCACTGTACTTTGTTCAAATGACAAAAGTAGATTGCGCGGTTATAGATTTTGGTTGAAAATTATTTAAATCAATTAATGGGTTCAAAATTTGAACTTCTTTTTTCTCAATTTCTTCCTCCACGGAAATCTTCGCAGCGCCAATCTTGGCATCATCACTGGCACGGATGCGAGGTTAATCTCAGGTCATCATCACTGGCACGGCTGTTTCTCTCACGATTAATTATTAATATTGTTAAATATGTTTAAAGGGGATTGATGCTTGAGACATGTCACCTGCAAGCCATTGGTTAGGCCTCGGTTGGAATAATGGAATGATTTTTCATGGAATGTAAAAAGAAATGGGAATGGTAATTGGAATAGACATAAGAATAAGATTTAAAACATTTGGTAAAAGAATGCCGTCTGTTAGTCGAATCTGAGAGCTACATATGCCAACAAGAAAAATCAAAGAATAAAAAAGAAACAAGAAAAACATAAAAGAAAATCAAAGATAAAGATTCGGCTTGTCTCATTCTTCCATGTCTCATGAAAGTTCAATTTGCAAACCAATTACGTTCTTCGAGTTCAGAGAGAAAAAACAAAATCAAAGAAATACTTGACTTATTGCTTAAACTCATACCCAGATCTGGAATTTCATCAAACTCATGGAACCAAATTTGGCTTGTCGTCGTTCTCACTTTTGAACCAGATTTCATCAATCTCAAACCCGATATGGAACACCTCGCTCTCGTTGTTCTCAATCTCGAACTAGATCTGGAATGTCTCCCCCTTGTTCTCACTGTTGCCGAGTGTAGTTGATCAGCGATGAAGCTTCGGTTTATGAGATCAGTGATGGAGAAGCAGAAGCTCCAATTGATCGGCAATGAACCCAGAAACTCAATGACGATAAAGGGAGATTGGCAAAGATTGGTCACCAAATTTGATCAACGATGGAGATAATTGGTTGGCCATTGAAGATGAGATATACCATGAAGACTAGGAAGATAAGTGATAGAGGGCAGGGAGAAGAGTGGAAGAAGAAAAGGGAGAGGGAGTGGGATTAGTGCTTGGGGCAAAGTAGGAATCTGAAAAAAAAAAAAATTACAGTCTAGTAATCCAAAATTCCATAAGGAATGGGGATTACCTTGGATGAGGTAATGAGTCATTCTATTGGAATGGTCATTCCCATGTACCAAACAAGATAATAGGTCATTCCTACTCTAATGCCCGTTCCATGACCTCCCATTTCACTGTCCCCAACATGGACTTGAGATCAATCATGAACTGGTACCCTGTTATTTAAATCATACGCGGGGGAGGGATATTGCATTGCTGAACAATACTATCCTTGAATATCAAGAAAGCCGCTCTTTTTGTTTTTTGGGTCACCAAGAAAGCCGCTCTTAATCCGATTGAATGTGGCCTTCAGGCGTCAATCGAAGCAGGTTTCTGAGCTCGATTTTAAATACTAAATGCCGTTATGGATATTTACAAATAATCTCTAAATGATTATACATGAGTATTATCGGGGAGCAGACATGTGATATCTTATCGGCCGACCATTCAGAGCCTCCGAGGCAAGGGATTCCAGAGAAAAATCTCCCCCCCCCCCCCCAAAAAAAAAGTTTGAAACAAAGTGTTGGAAGACACAGAACATTCTAGATTAGAGTTGAGGTCATGATCGACATGAGATCTGCAAAGAGGGCAATTTGATCGAGACTGAAGCCAAGAGTCCATGCAAGAAACATGGAAGACATGGGTGCAGTTAGGAAGCTGTTTCAGCCACTCCCCTTCTTCAAACTCACCTAAGCATATTGCATAGTCTGCATTTTTTGGCTTCTCTTCTCCCTCACTTTTCTTCAACACGGACATGGGAAGAGATGGATTACAGAGAACTCCAAACCATGGCTTTGAAACTCTAGAGAAGGATCATCTTGAATGGATTGGTCTAGAAGTTGCCTCTGAGCTTGGTTTCCAGAAGAATTTGCACCGCAACAAATACGCTTTAATACGCTGTAGTAACTCAGTAAAAGGAAAACGATGCAGACAAGAATAATTGAAGTAGTCTCTTGTGCATTCCATTCCAAAGGCACATCAGGCTTTGTGGAATTTGAAGACATGATGAAACTCGAGATGTTGGGTTAAGCCGAGTTTGCAAAGGATTTTTATTAACCAATTGATAGCTCGTGCGGGAGAATGTGCAGGACAAGTAGAACGTTCAAACCGAAGAGTCACAAGATAGGGATATATGGAGATAATATTAAGGAGTATGTTCCTCTACATACGAGGCAAGCCTTGTCTTGGATAATATCAAGGTTACAACAACTTGGTTTCTAGTTACTAGCTGAAAACTTTATTTGCACATTGCCATTCACATAGTCAAAGATTTCATTTTCTAAAAGCAATAAATAAATATATGACCACAAGCCTCGTCAATATATTTCAGAAGATTATCAAATGCTCCAAAAGTAATTGGGAAAGAAAAACATATTAACTATCGACACGCCTCCTATAAGTTTAACGTAAAGTAACTTCGTACTATTATTATTGTCCATGAACTTCGAGATGGCCAATACTAAAAAGTCTCAACTTGTGTGCGTGCGTGTGTGTAAAGAACTAAAGAAAAGTAAGTCTAGCTCCACCAATTAAGTAGATTCCAATGAAAAAGTGATCCCTAAACACCAGGACAAAAGATTGCATTCTAGCATCTTAACCATGATCCCAAATGCTGGTTGTAACACTCAAGCTAAGACGAGAAGCAAATATCAGCGAAATTAGTAAAGCCTATGCCGCTTGCTTCCAGGGACTTGATCGTGGATCCATGGATCAGAGGGAACCCCTGCAAAATTCAGCATAGAATCTGAAAAAGAATCACCTTGGAGATCAGCACAATCCCCCATATCTGCAACATCAAGATCTTTGATGGTAAGAGGTGGAGCAAAATTAATAGGTTGTGATCCTTGTGGAGGTGGGTGACGCCACAAAGGAAGCGGCCCTGCAACGGGAAGCATCTGAAGCACAGCACCTGCATCTATAACAGAGCGCAGAAGGTTCCCCTTTTCTGGCAAAATGTTTTGAAAGGCCTCACTCGCACGATCAGACTCTGGCATTGCTGGATATACCAAACCTGGCTGAACCCATTGTTCATTGACAAAACCCCCGTTATTCCTGGTGTCAACTACGTTGTTGACATTTGAGAACTCCAAGGAAGAGTCACAGTCCATGAAGGAATCCCCAGGGGAAGAAATATGGGAGAAATAAATGGATTCCGTTATGCCTAAGTTTGCAGCCGATGGTAGCAAGAGAAAGCTTTCTGGATACACGGACGATGCTGACATCGTGCGCTGAAGACGAGGACGCAGCTGGTTCTCAATTCTGTTTATATCCTCGGAAATATGATCCACTAGATTCTGTAGCTGCATCATGAGATCCTTAGCTCGATTTATTTTGAGCTTGTTATGAAGCAGCTTCAGCATCAATCCGTCAACTGTCTGAAAAACCAAAACAAGTATGTCATCAAAACTCTGAGCGAATTATGATGACCAGAATCGCTTTTAAAATGGGATCACTCATACAAAATGAATAAGATGAACAAAGCGATCAAGACCAGCACTCACACAAACTGAATATCAAGGATTCAATTAGAGAAAAGCTATTTTTCAAACGAAAATAATAATGTTTAGAGAGAGAACAATTGTATCAGTCAAAAAAGAAAAAAGCTATTGTAGCAAACGTTGTCAACCGGGAAAACTGAGTCTTTGTAAGCGAGAAAAGGAACTAAGCTATTACGAACAAATTAAAATTATATATGATATTTAATTTTTCAAACTATGCAAAGCAAATAAGGGAAAGAAACAAAAATAGACGAGTTCGGAGGAAGGAAATTAATTGGGTGAAACATCCGAACCTTGCTTCTGGCATAGCTGCCTTGTTTTTACTCCACGTTCGACGAAAGACATTCTTTGTGGAGGAAGAAAGAAAATGCCAAGATAAAAATCAAAATTTTTCGGATAGAGCATAATGGCATGCCGGCTCGCTCTCGTTTGCACTAGATTATGGGTTCAAGTGCACATGCTATCTCTTGTGATCCAAAAAAGTCAAAACTTTAGGCTCCAATGCCTAAAGCTTTACTGGGGAAATGTAAACTGGAAACAAAACCAAAGCAGTCATTTCTTTTCTCTTCTCTCTCTCTCTCTTTTTTTTGGGTGAGCGACCAAATTAGGACCGGAATATTAAAAAAAAAAAATTAAACCTCCAAAATAATGTTTCCCCGGTTAGCAGAACGGAAGCAAGAAAAATATTCTGCTTCTCTCCTTCCATGCTTTTTGCATAATAAAGTATAAAGAAGCAAAATAAACAAAATGGTAAGAGATGAAAAATCTCAAAAATTAAACTCACTTAATGGATTATAATCATCATGGGTCTGCTAAACTCATGAAAGAAATCCAGAGAACAGAAATTGAACTGAGGGAGAAGAAATTATGCAATGACCCACCTCCCCAGCACAAAACGGAGAGCCCATTAATTTTCTGTGTGATTTTCACCTCCTTTCAGCTGCGGGACTAGGAAAGAGCATTTGAAAAATAGGGAATCAAATAAATGTGATTATTCTTATCTGTAAGAGATTGATGATTGGAAAGGCGATGGGTTTCTTGTAGTAATGATCTGGGAACACTGGCCCTCGCTTCGTGTACAGTAGTCAGTGATTTGATTGGTTTATTTATTTTCCTTTCGGCCATGATATCTAATTCGATTCCTTGCATGATCCTCTCATGATTGCAGATTCAATTCCTCTTTAAGACTCAAACGCGTCATTTATTTATTTTTTGGCCCAGTCATTAAATATATATATAGATACACACATACATATCCACACATCAACCTTACATATTACAGAAAATGTCATCACATCATCCTCCCACTTTTCTTCATCGCTTTCCACAACTCCACGCTCTTACACTCACTCACCTACAGATCAATCAAACATCTTAAATCTTATAACTTGGAATATTTCCCAATCAAATCTTCAAAATGACGTTGTTAATAAATATAGAATCATACCCTGGCCCATATCCATATGCCCAGCCCGCGGAATCATTAAATTTTCTACTCGCGTATTTTTATTACGAAAATCCAATTTCCTTATTTGGGTTATTTGTGTGATGTGAACATTTATTTCGTTGACGGCCAAAACTTATAATAATTAGTTTCCAAAATCATCTCTTTCATATTTGAAAATTGTTGTCATCAAGTCCGGCAATATCTTTTGAAAATATTAATTAATTAATTAATATTTAATCTCAGAGTCATCGAAGGCATTGGTTAGAAATACACGCTTATATTGAGAGAATAGTTAACAGGGTCCGCAGCTGAGGATCTGTAGCTTCCATGACTGTTATGAAGCTGTCAAATTTTAGAGCCAGCACCAATACGCCGGCAGCTTCTGAACGAGTATATACATGTTTTTTTTTTTTTTAAAACCAGCGGAGTGTATACACGTATTATTTAAATGGAAAATGTTCCACAAGTTAGCTACAAATACGGATTCAAATCTTCTGAAATTTGTAAATTTTTATGAAGTTTATTCTTTTAAAAAAGTATTTTACAATTACATAAAATGATAAAATGAGAAAATATTAAAAAATCATGGTGTATTTGGATTAATAAGAATTTGGATTTGAATTTAAACAAAATCTCTCATTTGAATACACAGAAACATGATTGATCTTGTGAGTTTAATTTTTATTACCATATTATTTGTCTAAGATTTTTGAGTTGTAAGTTTAGGTGTTACATTTTGGTATCAATTCAAATCCAAATTCATTTCAAATTATAATTTATTGGTAATTTCAAATTTTTTTAATATTTTAGTCATTTAAAATTTTAATCACTTCAAAAATATTTTTTTCTATTTGCATTTTCACTATTGGTATTTCTATCACTATTATATCTTTTCTTATCTTTTATTGATTAAAAAATAAAAATAAACTTATCATTTTTCATTTTCATTTTGAATTCCAGTTCATCTTTTTTATTTTTTTTCAAATTTTTAAACTATACAAACAAAATATTTTAAATATGTAAATTTCAAATGTGAGATCTATAAAATCTAAATTCATCAAACCAAATGCTACCTTACATAAATTCAAAATTATCAATTTTAAATGATTTAAATCCAAGTACAATATGCAACCTATACTACAACCAAAAGATCCACAAGCGTGACCAGGCATAATTTAAAACAAAGCTATTTGAGTATTTGTGGCTCTTCTTTCCTAATCAGCTAATTTTTTTTTTTTTTTTTGTTAAACTGATCAGTTAATATTTTATTTACCTTTCCTTTTCGCATGAATGGGTGATCCATTATTGTTGGATTTAACTTTGAAGCATTGAGTGGGCCAAAAAAAACACATATCATTTTATTGTGAGCCCATTATTGTTGAATGGATCCATCACTATGTGTGAGTCCAATCCATTGCGAATTTTCAATGCTGGTGGACGCTGATCGCTAGCCATATTAAGAAGCCAATTTCGCTGTTGTGGCAGAGGAGGCAGCGAGACCGTGAGAAGGGAAAAGAAGGCGTAGCAGGGTTAGCAGCAGTGAGAAATGAGGAAGTTCGATCCATGGCCTGTTTTCTTTAAGCGAGAATGGAATCGGAACTGGCCCTTCCTGGTTGGCTTCGCCATCACCGGAACCCTAATCGTCAAGTTCACCGCTGGTCTTACAGGTAAGAAGCCATATCGATCTGTTCCTTGTTGTCATTATCTGGACTCGGATTCTTGGATCTCATAGCGAGTTATTTTTGTTCGAAATTTGATTTTTAATTTCAGAGGAAGATGCTAGGAAGTCTAAGTTCGTTCAGGAGCACAGGAGGTAACCTATCTATCACCATTCTTCAAACTCTTTTTTTTTTTTGACGCCTTTTAGTTATTTGCTATATGGAATGAGTGCGCCTCTCATGTTTTCGATCGTGGAAAGATGAAACAGTGACTCGTTAACTCAATGGCACAATACTCGGTTCTTGATGAATAAATTGATTATAGATTGCTCATAGTACGGGTCCCCTCCACCTCCGGCTAGGTTAATGATATAATCTGAGGATGAAAGGAGCACTAGGATGCACCATGCGAGAATTATTCTTGGGAAAATTATGGCTGAAGTGATTGATATCTTAGGCCCCTCTTGACCTTCATGTCCCAGTTGTTCTTGCTGCATTGCCAAATCCTATTATTATGATTTTTCTTTTAATCCATCCTAGCTTATTTAGTTAATGAGGCTGTTTCTTACTCATGTTCCAGGTGATTCCGAGTGGTTTGTAGGGCTTCCAGCTCTGCACTTTGTTTTCAGTGTCATTGTCGAGAGGTTTGCTTGTCTTGGTGTTACAGATTGTAATAAGAGAAGAGAGATGTCCTACATACTCTCTCTGCCTTTAATTTTCAGTAGTGATCTTTGGTTAACTATGGTAAAAGATACCTGCCAAGCATTGCACTGAACAATATATTGACTTTTTTTTATTTCTTTGTTGAGTTGTTCGCGTCAATCTTTATGCTTGAACTTCCTGTTCTACTTATCTGGACTCTTTTAGAAAATAATACTTATACAATGCTTAATTATGTATTTTGAGCCTTCTAGATTTTGGTAGCAAGCAATTGACACCCGTAAGACCTTTACTTCTTCATTAGGATCAATACAATATGTGTTCCATTATTTGTTGGAAATTCTTGGCACTAAATCTATATCGTTACTCATTCAGTGCCTTTCGTTTTGAACTTATTGTGAAGTGCCCATCGTTTTCCTCTTATGGACACATGAGCAATCCGGAAGGTGTCTTGAACATTTTAGCAATTACACACATCAGAACTAGGATGTGGCATAATTCCCTTATACAAGGTTGGCTTTCTTCTGCCATTCTCAAAGTTTATGTGGCTATTCTTGGAAGGTAATGCTAAGCTTAGGAGTAGGACATTTACCTCTAGTAAGCTGCACCTGACCAGATGTGGGTAGGAGTTTGGTTGTAGGATTCGGGTTTAAAAATTCGAACTTGCGAATTTGTATGGATATGTAGTTCAAGAATCAAGATTGTGACTCCCTCATTGGTTAGGTGAGTCATGGAGTTCATATTTAAAGTGGAGACCTCCCTCCTCTCAGGCTGAGAATTGACAACATCTTTTTTATTAAAGGGAAAGACAACATCTCCAAATTTTATTATTAGGCCTCACTGGAAGAATACCATAAAAATTGTTTGTTAAGCAACCCCACCAATTCCTCCCAATATTTTCATGGTTTCCACAATCGACATTCTCCTTGCCCACCCACAGTACCAACGATGCAGAGTCACCGTCAATTTCTATGTAACCGGCAACAGGGAATTTCACTAACGAGTGCCCTCAGCTCTGTAGGATTGTGAGCTCTCCACTATATCATTTGTTCTAGAGGGGGGCGAAAACAAGAAAAATAATAAAAATCCCCCATCTTGGCATCTCAAAGCCCTTGGAGCGGTTTCGTTATATTCAGATAGCATGGAAGGACAACATTATTAATGTTGCCTCAATATCCGTTTTTCCTCACAACTTGCAATCTGGGTATCATTGAACTTATCAGCGAGTTCTCTCCGCGTGAGCTTACTCCCAATTATATTCCGTCATTCCCATGAATATCGTGTCTAATGGACCAGTTTAATGAGGGCAATGACGGAATGCAATTGGGAGAAAGCTCGCTTGAGTCCCGAGAATATCTTGCTATTCCGTCGAACATGGCATGCACGTTTTGCATGAATTTTTTTATGACTGGGACATTTATTATTATGAAAACTAAATATTCTGGCGAATAAGTGACGTCTAATTGTTTTCTTTGAGAACTCTATAACCTTTGTCCTTGCTTGTGAAATATTGAAGAGTTAGGTGAATGATTAACTTTGATGCACATATTCAAGTGTGCGTATGGTGGCAAAATCTTGGATATGTAATTTTATTTTGGTACAAGAACGAGGTTAAAAGCCCGATTGAAATAGGGAGAAACCTTAAAATGAACAGAAGAAACTAGTGAAATAAGCCTACAACCACATATATCCCCTCTTGGTAGGGGCGTTCATAGGTTCGATTTAATTTGGTTTTAGACAAAAATCAGATCGAATTGAACCAATCGGTTTGAGCATTAGTGAAACTTGATCGGTTTCAATTGAAATTGGTTTGATTCGGTTTTTGTTTCGGTTTGGTTTGGTTTGGTTAATGTTTGAATTAAGTTTTAATGAATTTTTTTTCTTTTTTCTTGTCTTTGTAATAGTTGGACTTTTTTATTTTGAATTGATTTATGCATTATTAGCTTTTTTATTGTATGAAAGGTTCTTACTTATCTTGTGCTTTATTTTAATCACAATCATAATATATTTATGAAAATTAAAAGTTTTTGAACTTTGATTAATTACATATCATATGCATACATGTTCATCTTTTTCTTTTTTCTTTTGTTTGGTCTCAAATTTATCAAAGATAAAAAAAATATGTTTATATCATATTAATCTTATTCATCTCTTCATTTCATTGACCTTGAATGTACTATATCTTCATGATCTCATCAATCTTTTTTTGTCTCATCAATCTTCTTTTGTCGTCCAATATATATATATATATATATAATGCAAATGAATTTTATGATTGCAAACAGCAAAAATTCAAAATAATGATGATCAACTAATCATTTTCATAATTATATTAGATACATTATTTGGATCTTCATAGAGAAAATTCATCACCTAATAGCAAGTAGCAAATATACAAATATTAAAGACTAAATATTCAAAATTTTAAATATCACACTATTTAATATTAATACTTACACTTATAGTTCCATAAATATATATATTCAAAACACAATATCCAATATCCATATCTCAATGTCATAATATCCACTTAAATTATATCAACTACCTATTATTTAAAAAAGAATTTATATATTTAATTATATACATATTATAGAAATAAATATTACTTTTAATCAAGTTTGATTCAAGTTTGGTTCGGTTTTCATATCTTAAAATCAAAACCAAACCGAACCAATCGGTTTGTGTATCATAAAAATCAAAGCAGACTTAATTAATGGTCGGTTTTGATCGGTTCATTTTGATTTGAATTAGTTTGATTTGGTCCGTTCAATTTGAATTGATTTTGAACACTCTCACCTCTCGGAGCAAAACCTGCAACTGTCAGTTGAACAAATCAAGCGAACCCTTTCCACCATCTGATCCGAGTCCCGAGACATGGACGAAGCATTAGCATGCTTCTCTTGGCTATAACCAACTCTGATTTGCCACTCTATTCCAAGTCTCGGCCCATCAAGCCTTTCAATTTGTTGAACTACGTCAATGAATCTATCTCATGTTCAACCTTTCTGTACCCTGCTTTCCAGCACTGCTTTAATAATAATTTTTAAAATAAGGATATGGGAGATGTACATGTACAGTCATATATATATATTTAATAATATAAAAATGAGTTTCAAACAAATATTTCAAACATATATAATGATATTCATAACGAATGACCAAAAATTGAGTTTCTATTGGCTCTTCAGCTATTTTCAAATATTAGAACATGCTCCGTGTATGGTAGTGTTAGTACATGTCTTGTATAAAATGCATTTTTATTTCATATGGATAGGGCTAGCTATTTTTTGAGTATGGGTACACCTTTAACTTGGCCGACGTTGGCCGCAACAGAGATTAGATTCATATATAGGCAGGAAAGAAGGGGAAAAAACTAGTCGTGTGTATAAGGAGAAATGTTGAGGCTTATATTCATAGAATTTGTCTTCTTATCAAGTAATTATCAAGTAAGATTACCCGCATACTGAATCTTTTGTATAAATTTTGCAGGGCATTAAGAGAGAGGATGTCACATGGAAGTGTCTTGTTCCTTTTCCCCCAATTTCTTGCTTCTAATATTATATTTCCTCCGTTAAAAAATATAAAATATTTTTAATTGAATCTCACTCTCAGTAATTATTTATATTTAAATTAGTCTTGTCTTTTCATATTTACCCATATTTAATAGTGTTTCACTCAAAAAAAATATAAAATGATCTATTCAATAGGAGTACTTTTAAAAACAAGTAATAATTACACATTAAAAAAATTAAAAATGTCTTATATTTTTAAACATTCAACCCCTCCAAAAATCTCTTATATTTTTGAACAGAGAGAGTATATAGTAATGTTTTTTCATAGAGAATTTGGACTCCAATGCCAAGGAAATTTTTCATTTCAAAATCAGCTAAGCAAAATGTGTAAATGCCTTTTTTTTTTAAGAATCACAACTAAGTTTCACATAAGAAAATTAATTATTGCAAGGTTTATTGGTAATTAAACTAAACTGTATTGATAGCTGCTTGTGTTATTAATGCAATTTAGTGTAGTTGTCAATGAATCTTGTAATAATTAATTTCCTTGTGTGAGACTTTAATGTAATTCTTCTTTTTTTTTTCTTCCTTTACTATTTTACTTGACTCAATGGTACCAGACTTCGCCTCAACTTCGTTAAGGTGGTAGAGATTGGAGGTTCGAGTCTGGGGAGGTTCCAAAAGACTCTCGTGAGGGTGGGGTGAGGAATAACCACTGTACCACCAATGGGAAAGCCGGCAATCATGTGGTGACATGTGTGTTGTCCAGTGCTGGAAAAAGACCCTGGAGAGGCAGTGGTGACCCAGAGGGCTGTTGCATAAAAGGCGTCTTTTAATGTAACAGCCCTACTCGGGATCTCACCATCACCCGAGGTGCTGGACACTCTCCCCCAAGCCCCATAACAGGGCAACCCCACCCCTTACGGACTCAATGGTACCAGACTTCGCCTCAACTTTGTTATGTAGGAGAGGTTGGAGGATCGA